TGGGGAACCAATTCCTCAATGAATGCAAAGATGGAGAATTCCCAATTTGAATTTTACAATTATGGGGGCATGGAAGGGGGAAAATGCTTAACGGGGATTAGAATGGGAATGACATAACCGATTCGTCTCATTGGCATCCTTAAGTTCAATTGAGGGATTCTTGTCAAATAAGCTTATTTGAGGGACATATATTTGAAAAATAAATTGTTCATACCATTCAAATACAATACGAAGTGGGCTCACAAAGTGTCGTTTAAATGATTTTTTTTACAAGGGGTAGTCTTAACTACTCTAAATTAATCTAATTTACGAGGATGGGGACTCGAACTTGGGTGCAAGGGGTGGGCTCACTGCCCTGACCAACTAGTCTGACCCACGTTTGCTAAATGGAAAATTTATTGTGGGGTATTTGAGCACAAAGAGATTGTAATGAAGGGGTTATAATAAGGGGATCCTTAATAATAATTAGGGATTTTTGTAGAAATGTCACTTGAACTTATAACTTATACTTCAGTTTGAATTTGTCACCTTTAAGAAAAATTTAAGAGAAATGTCACCTTAATTTTTTTAAATCCATGATTTGTCATCTGACTTTAACACCACCCAATTTCCCATATATTTTTAAGGGTATTTTAGTCATTTCATTAAATTTAATGTTAAAATAATTTAAAACTATTTAAATATTAATTAAAAAAAACATAACTATTTGAATACAATTTAAAATAAATAAATCAAAGTTAACTTAATAAATAAATAATTTTTTTTTAAAAACCTAAAACTATTATTAAAAAAAATAAAAAATGAAAGACACCACCTCCAATCCCAACCACCAGCCACCATTGTTCTCTCTTCTCTTTCTCCCCAACAACAACCCACCACCCCAACTCCAATCCACCTCACCCCTTAATATATACCTCTCTCTTCCTCTCACAAGAACAACCCCTACCCCACCATCCCTAGCCATTTACCCCATCCTAGCCCTAGCCAATCTCTGCCCATTCGGGGATCACCCCACTTCTCTGTCTCCATCTCTCCCCTTTGGCCATGCCCCTCCTTCCCACCTCTCCGTTGCTGGGTCCTTCCCTCCCTGACAACCCCGGTCCTTTTTTTTTCAAATTTCTTTCCTCTCTCTAATGTTTTATTTTATTTTATTTTTGTCTGATAAGTTTTTAAAATTGGCCAATATGTTAAAAATAGAAAACAGAGCTTTTTACATTTAACCCTCAGCCATTTTTACATTTAAGCTTTTTGTTTTTATATAATGATTTTTGCATTTTTAAAATACCCTTTAAAGTAGAAAGACTAAAATACCCTTAAAATTGATGGAAAATTGGATGGTGCTAAAGTCAGATGACAAATCATGAATTTTTAAAAATTAAGATGACATTTCTCTTAAATTTTTCTTTAAGGTGACAAATTCAAATTGAAGCATAAGTTCAGGTGACATTTCTACAAAAATCCCTAATAATTATTAATTGCTTAGCTATTATTGGAGAAATTATACAATAGTACAATATTACCACGTGGCACTTGCCAGGTGGTAGTACGCACCTATAATATGGCGACACTTAGATAACAACTACTGGAAAAAAAAAAAAAAAGCGGAACTAACGTCTGTTTAATATTGGTTTGGACACTTCTACGGTCCGTCAGTTTTGCCTCAAATGCTGCATAGCTTTTGTCCATCTTTGGATCTCTCGAGAAGCCATGGCTATGGAGTTTTTCGTTCAACCCATTGGGATCTCTCGAAAAGCCATTAACTCTCATAATTTCTTTCAACATAAAAAAAATCATCAAAATTTATTTTAGATTTTTAGTTATACACCCATAAAATCGCAACCCATATTGTTTGAGCCTACCCATTTAACAAACACCAACCCAAGCAATTGCAAAAGACGATGGACTCAAGAACAAATTCGAAACGAAGATCCTAAAATTAACCCCTGTTTGCCTGGAAAGAAAAAGAAATTTAATGTTTTCCTTTACAAACACCCAAGAACAAACTGGGGAAGAGAATAATTTCTTAAAATTTTATGAAATTAAAAAAAAAAAAGAAAAAAAGAGAAGAAATTAAGAGGGTTTATAAAAATCTAATGGCCCCAGCACCAACATAGCCGCTCCTCTAGGAGTCAAATGAATCTTGTAGAAATGGAAGTCGTTGGTGATGGATAAAGATGGAGAAGTTTAATTTCATATGGACGGTGATGTTAACGTTGATATAAAACAAAACGTTAAATATCTTTGTTGGAGCTGTTGTCCATATGTCGTCATCTTATAGGTGTGTACTACCACCTGGCAAGTGCCATGTAATAGTACCGTACTATTGTATAATTTCTCCTATTATTGGGCGGTTGGATTGAACCCTCAACACACCCCCTCATTATAGAAAACCCTAATAGAATATGATCACAAAATATAACCAATTCATGTATAAATGGGTGGACGACAAATATATAATTTCTCTAATTTTAAATTATAAAATGAATATGCACACATATTATATGACCGTAATTGAATAAGACACAATAATTTCTCACTTAAATAAGTAGGGCTTATCAAAACCTCCGTATGAATTGAATTCCTTCTGTCCACATCACCCCCTTCCATAGTCTACTCTATCCCATGAAAAAGATAAGTAAATAAGAAAAGGAGGCAGAATAAGACGTGCGTTGCCATTTGCCAACCCCACCTACGCTACGCATATATATATTGCAAAATAGCATTGATGAAAAGGAAATGGTCACCTCCCTTCTCAACTTTTTCTCAATTTAACTTTATTTCAAATTTGTCAAGCATTATATCAACCGGTCCAAATCATTCGGTCTTATACCGTATAATATTACAATACCATTAACCCTAAAAAAGTCTTAAGTCTACCCAAAATCAGCATAGGATTATTCGGGCTAGTTGAGCAAGGCTTGCATAAACCTTCACTAGGTTTACTGAAATCCCAATAAAAATCGTGAATGAAATCATGACCGTCCATTTTTGTTTGTTTTAATATAAGTAAGTTTGCACCATGTATGCATGCCATCGCGCCACCATTTCGGGGCTTCTAGGATCACATTCATTCCTCCAACTATAAAATTCATCTTTATCCAATTACCTATTACATATATATATTTGGGTCGGTTAATGCTAATAATAATTATTATTTTCTAATAAAAGTAATTATAATAAGAATGAATACATGAGCAATATATATATATATATATATATATATGATTACTTAAAAATAAACAGTTCGGATCATAAGTTGTGGAATGAGTCCAAAAGAGTGGTAAATGTCATATTTTTTTACTAGCCGATTATATATATTTCATCTACCTCCGCAACAAAAAGAGTGATTTTTCACACACACATTATTAAGGTGTCATGGGAGTTCAAACCTGGAATTATTAGTCTGCAAATCAAGATTCTTTTCCATTGGATTAGACCCGTATTTTTGTTTTTGAACAAATGGTAGCTAGCTATATGGAATCATGGATTGTCCTTGGACTTAAGAGAGAGAGAGAGGTGTCACCTTTGTTATCATCGGCTTTATAATTAATTAAACTCGTTATTATATAATAAGTAATGATATCCATGTTTGCAAGCTAATCATCTATACGATACGAATATCCGCTTTGGACAGATCAGAGAAAAGTACGTCGAAGGCCAACCCCACCAATCCAAAAAAATAATATCATCAATTAGTAAAGGGGGAGTTTGGGCATTTCGATGCCCTATCTAGTATCTACATAGACACACACACCGTCCCAAAGCTTAAAACAATTATTTTTCTTTTTGGCTTGGAGATGTAACTAAAGTGGTCCCGGCATGCTTAATTTGTCTCTCTGATTTTTTTCCTTAATATGGTAAAATTTCTTGGGTTTATTTGTAATAAACGGAAAGGTGTTTCGAACTTAAGACTCTTTAAATTAGCTGTCTTTAAATCTTAGCAAGCTCAAAATTAAAAAATACAGTAAATGTAGGGTTTTTTAACTTTGCGTCAATAACCATTTGATTTGGTTGCATTCAATCTCTACTTCGTTAAAATAAATTATAAATTCAAATATCGTGAACAAACTCTTATTAGATTTTCTATACTAAATTGATCACATATATATAATTGTCGAAAACAAGAAAGACCACATAATTAATCGCATTATATAACAAATGAAATGTACGATATTACCTTCATAAGATCTGCTTTGACATAAGGCTACTTTGGATGCAAGAAGGAGATGGGTTTTTTCCTCTCTAAAATCCGGTCCAACACCACGTGGCAGATCCTCATTGCTTGCGTTTTTTAAAACCAGAGAAAGGGTGGGCCCCACTATTAAATTAACAAAAACGACGTAGTAAAACCGAGCCGTACTACTTCACCTGTCCTGCCTAGTATGCCCCCAGACACCAAACCGATAAGCGTTAAATTATTTCCTTTGCAATATAATAATACGGCCTGATTCTGGACCGTTGGATGCCGAGACTGAACGGTCCAGATCACGCAAAGAGCCTCTCTATAAAAACGCCTTCCCTCGTTGTTTCCTACCCATCGAGAAATATTTAAAACTCTCTCTTTCTCTTTGTCTCTCTCTTTCTCTTTGTCTCTCTCTGTCCGTCTTCGGTATTAAATAAAGTCCTTCACTTGCAATGGTGATGGATGCTTAGAGAGAGAGAGAGAGAGAGAGAGAGAGAGAGAGAGAGGGAGAGCGAGCTCAATGGCCAAGGGCAGCATTGGAATTTCAAAAATCCTCCTGCTAACGCTCCTCCTTCTTGTTCTCGAAACGACGGCGTTCAGCGAAAACCACCAGCTGAAGCAGCAGCAGCGGCGGCCGCGGCAGTACTACAGAAATGCGTACGCGACGATGATGTACATGGGGACACCCAGGGACTACGAGTTCTACGTTGCGACACGTGTCATGATCAGATCGCTCTCCAGGCTCCACGTTGCCGCCGATCTCGTCGTCATTGCCTCCCCAGACGTCCCCCTCCGTTGGGTTCAGACTCTGTAAGTCCTCTTTCTTTCGATTTTTTGTCTTTTTCCCCCGTTTCGTTTTTCCTTTTTGGCCGTAACGTGCGCGCAGGGCCGTCCCGGTGCACGTTAGAAAAAAACTTGGGGTTTCGGCGCACGTTACGCTGTGTAGAGCTACCAAGTAGCGAAGGGCTAGTCAACTAGAAGTTGAGCCAATTAGGTTGGTAGTTGGTCAAAATGGTCAACGGCTTTTTTTTTTAATGAATGGATCGGGACCGTCTATTTTCGGTGTTCTTAGATGCAGCTTAGAATATGCCCTCTGGATTTTTTTTTCCATTTTCGGATAAGAATGGGTGGGGGGCGCCTTTTCGAGTCACAGCGCAACAGCAATGCATTTACCAAATGGTCTTAATGGGTAGACTGGCCAGTGATATCTTGTTGGGCGTTGCTTCCCATTTGCGTGACGTGGCGTGGTTTGATTGGCTTGGGGGTCGAAGTCGGTGGAATCCAAAGACATGGCACCGTTGGTCTTGGTGAACCTCGTCCGTTGGTCTAGGTGGTCGTGTTTTCAACATCTGCCTCTTTTTTCTCTTCGTGGGAAGAAAATAAGAGGAGAGTCGGCAAAGATTCCAGAAATATCATTGATAAAAGCAAAAAAAACTCGATTACATGCTTAATTTGCGCGTATTTAGTTTTATAATTTTATTTGTTGAAATCGTGCTTACTTGAATTTCATTAATGTCTAAGTTCTCATCATATTTTTCCCATATTAATTGCTCTCAAATCATCTAGCTTCTATATTAAGATAATTCTATATAAGGAAAAGAAAATCAAAATAGGGGTTTTGTTTATTTTTATTTTCTACCCTGCACGTGACTTGCTTAGATAATGATGACAATAAAGTCATGGATGGCAATCTATGATTTGTCTGATCCCCCTTTCCTTTGTTTACATCATCACAACTTGACACCCTAGGATGATCAAGCCCATTCTCGCACTGAGCCAAGGCCTTGGGTCCTACAAGTGAGAAGAAAAAAAGAAAGAAGTTGGAAATCTCATACATCTTTATTTAAAATAAGATTTTGTGACATATTATAGATTTTAATAGTGCAATGCTTGTGTCGACAGAGTCTAGTCCACAAGAAAATGGCCTTGATTTGCATACCAGTGGATCTCAGGTTCGAACCCCTATGGCATAGCGTGTGTGAGAAACCCTGAATTTTATACCATCACTTGTATTAAAGTAAAGGTGTAGTGCTTGTTGCTCAACCTGTCACATTGGAGAGTACCGTAAATTTGTCTCTCTCTTAGTTTGATATGGTGATCTGAACTGTGACACCACTAATTTGACTTAGAAGAACTTGAGATCATGACTGGCATATTGATATATTAACACAAGTTTTTGTTATTGTTTGACTCAGAGAACAGGAAGATGGGGCCAAGGTGGTGAGAGTGGAAAATTTGAATAATCCATATAGCAACCAGAACAATTTTGACAAAAGATTCAAGTTAACACTCAACAAACTCTATGCGTGGAGCCTAGTGGACTATGACAGGGTGGTCATGCTTGACGCTGACAACCTCTTCCTCCGAAATGCTGATGAACTATTCCAATGTGGACAATTCTGTGCAGCTTTCATCAACCCTTGTATCTTCCATACTGGCCTCTTTGTGTTGCAGGTAAACCCTAAACCTTCAAGCACAAATGTTTGAGATGTTTATGAAACCATTTTAAGCCATTTAGTTTTGACTTCTTATTTCAAAGTTTCACATTGAACTCTTGAATGAGATCCTCAAGATTTTAGGTTATGATTTGAGTAGAAGTAACTAACACAGAAGAACACTCACCGTAAGACGGCTAGATGCTATTATTTGAAGATGAAAGAATGATGTGCAATTTTTTCAAAATCATAATCTGCCTTATTTCTTAAGAAATAATTGGGTTTTATAGAAAGGTAATATTAATCCTTTGGTTCCTTGCTGATTTTCCTTTTAAGATTTTAAACTAGAGTCAATGTTAAGGCATTCATCCAAGAAAACTTTATGGTTGAATTTTTCTCATAGTTTACCTGAAAAGGAACCACTTTGGGCTTCATTTGTTCATGATATTTGCAGCCGTCAATGGAAGTATTCAAGGACATGCTTCATGAGTTGAAAATTGGAAGAGAAAATCCAGATGGTGCAGACCAGGGTTTTATAGGCGGTTACTTCCCGGACTTGCTTGATCAGCCCTTGTTCCGTGCACCTCCTAATGGCTCCAAACTTAATGGAACCTATAGACTACCTTTGGGCTATCAAATGGATGCTTCTTATTATTGTAAGTGAAACAATAAGCATTTCTAATTTTTATCTTATAGGGAAACCAAAGATTATATCTTAGCCACCCTCTACTTCTGCTTGTTATAGATCTCAGATTGCATTGGAGTGTACCCTGCGGACCCAACAGCGTGATCACCTTTCCCGGTGCACCATGGTTGAAGCCATGGTATTGGTGGTCATGGCCTGTTCTGCCGTTGGGCATTTCGTGGCATGCGCAACGCCAACAAACTCTTGGGTAAGACCACAAACCGTTTGAGCATTAACTGATCGCATCATCTGCCGCATCACGTAGCCCGTCAATGTGGTGAAATATATGCATAGGATTTTTCTTTGTGATCACCTTTCAAGCTGGCAAACCTAACTGTCACTGTCTTCCTCTATGATACAGGTATGGTGCAGAGATGCCAGTGGTGCTAATCCAGTCGCTAATTTATCTGGGAATAATAGCAATGACACGTCTGGCACGACCAAATATATCCAAGTTGTGCTACAGGCGCTCAGACAAGAGCATTACCTTAATACACACCCTCCTCAAGATGATAGCGGCGTGGTCGATTGTAGCTGCGTACGTTGTACCTTTCGTGCTCATTCCTCACACGATTCATCCGCTGCTAGGCTGGAGTTTGTACTTTCTTGGCACTTTTGCACTTTGCTTCATAGCAATCAATGCTCTGTTGCTGCCAATGCTGCCAGTTCTAGCTCTGTGGCTTGGATTTCTCGGCGTCCTCTTTGTCATGGCATTTCCTTGGTATCCAAATGGTGTTATAAGAGCTCTCTCTGTATTTGCCTATGCATTTTGTGCGGCACCATTCGCATGGCTGTCACTGGTTAAGGTCATGTCATCTATTCAAGCAGCAGTTGAAAGGGAAGCTTATTTTCCGAAAATTGGGTGAGTCTTCTCCACGTCTGAGCTTTGAACTTTGAAAGCACATTGCCAACTCCCCAGGATGAAGTGACGACAAGGACTGAGAGACGGTCTACTTCGACAAAATTTGGGCAGAAATGAGGCTGTGCTTTTTTCTTTTAATTTTTGGCGACATGGGGAAAAGGGGAAAAGGGAAAAAGGGTCAGATGGAAGCTTGGTTTTGCATGAGCTTCCATTGTTTTTGTACCATAAACTTCATTGATAAAAACTAAAAGGTGTGGCACATGCCAGTACGCATGGAAAACCGTCTGTAATTATATAAGATCGCTTTTATCAGATTTCTTGCATGTTTTGGCTCCAACAGTTGAGTGTAACAAGGACATTACGTTTACTAATTTTGCCTGAGGAATGTGACACCCAAATATTCTCTTACTATATGGAAATCTTTTGTTTGTTTTCTTATTGTTTTTACAAGGTTTCCCGCCAAGGAGTCGGAGATATCTCCTTTCAATGTGATGACCTATTATTGTTAACAGTGAAATTGTTTGGACTAAAGCAAAGTTGAAGAAGCTATATGCGATAAAAACAAAGAAGTCGGATGAGAGGCATATTTTGGCGATGAGATAAGATTGATGTGGCTATAATTAAAACCGAAGCAAGTTCACGCAAAGAAAAAACAAGTAGATGATCCGGATCCTTTCGCCCACGAAACTATTGGCTGAAATAACCAACAATGAAATGTATCAAATGCCCGAGTTGCGTATTACTTACCATTCTAGCTATCGGTGTTAGTGGTACTTCTCTTCCACAAAATGCTAGGCGAGGTCCCAAGTGAAAGATTACCCAAAAAATAAAATAGGAGACAGAACACGATACAATAATTACGGTGAAAGGAAATCACAACAATGCTTAAATTGTCTCAAAACTCATCCTTGATATAGAATAGAGCCGCAAAAGCAGCCATTCCAATTCAAACCGACTTTTTTTTGTCAGCGGGGATGTACAAAGTATCACTGGAAAGTGGTTCCAAAAAGGGTAGTTAAATTCCCAACCAAGCACTACGATTTTAAGCATCGATTTCTGTATATCTTTATAGTGGCCAATGCCACAATACATCTTACTAATGTATCTATCTTTGTTAACTGGTTGAGCCTTTTTCTTGCCTTTTCCAATTTTTGCTGCCTGCATAGATCAACGACCACAGATGTAGCCTTGATGAAGACATGAAATTTATATATAAAAAAAACGTAAAAAAAAACAATGACAGAAAATACCTCAGTCCACATCTCCCTGCCATTTTTTGAGAACCATGTTGCAATGTCTATCAAGTGGGCCAAGGAGCTTCATGTTTTGATGAGAACCTGCTTTCACAATGAGAACCATTTCAAATTAGAATTATTGCCCTCGACATGTAAAGCCTTAAGGAACACAAAGAACTATAAAAGTGTAACAAAGGATTACCTCAGTGAGTATGATCTTTGATACTCATTATAAGAACAGACTAATCGGCTCAGGTATCCAGATTTCCAGCACTAAGAAGCTCAGGAAAATGAAAGTTTCATCAGAAATATCATTAGAAGCAAAAGAAGATCTTTTATGCAACTCGCTGCCGTCGATATAAAGGTTAAGTCCACAAATTCAGGTTTCTAAAAGTTGAAGTCTGACCATGTGGGTGCAATACAATAATTTCAATGTAGCAAACACTATTGCAAAAAAGTATATAAAGTAATCTACCTTGAACTAATGAGAAGAGAACTCTTAACTGTGAACTTTACCGGATATTATCTGTCAATCGAACCCTAACACTCAAAGTAACAAATGGTGGACACAAGCTTGTGACCCCATGCTAAAAACCTTAACATACCAAATTGATATCCAATCAGTTTAACTAAACTACTTTAGAAGTTGTTAATTAAAGGGTTCAAGCATCATTATCGAATATTCCATTAAAATATAAAATACCTCTAAAGAACCTCAATAGTCTAAACAACATACGCAAAAAGGACACGAAATATGTTCAAATACAGTATGTATTCAAAGACATAATTGTATATACATATATATAGTGTAAATACACAACAACAGCGAAAAAAATATCCTCTTCAGTTCAGGTCTCCAAATTTTTTCCGCATGGAGCATCTCGGAAGAACGAAAGTTATTTATTGATCATCATCAGAGGCAATATAAAGTCATTGAATATATAAATGATAAAACAGAGAGAGAAAGAACAAGACACTGCTAGCACAAGATGGATAGATTCAGCATCATCCATAAGCAGATATGAAACTCGTTATAATTTAAAAAGAGCTACATCCCCTGATTGTTAGTTGATTCTTACTTGAAAATAACAAGCAAAATAAAAATAAAAATCAAACCCACCAAAAAAGACACAATATTTTCAATTATAGACAAAGTATATAGTACATGTATGCTGTAAACACAAAAACAAGCCTCTTCAGTTCAGGTCTCCAAATTTTTCCGCATGGAGCATCTCGGAAGAACGAAAGTTATTTTTCAATCATCATCATTAGAGGCAATATGAAGTGATATAATATATAAAACAGAGAGAGCGAGAGAGAAATTATTTTTCAAAATTCATAAAGAATGTCAAGAATGCATATGACATTCTCTAAAGCCAACTAAATTTGCAAGAAATTTTTAAGCGTAAAATAGTACCAATAGCAATATGAAAAAAGGATTAAACAAAATCATAGATCAAGGAAAGTTAATAAACAACTTGAAAGTACAGATGCTCAGACCTGACCGAGAGGTGACTAGGGTTTATACGAGGGAGGCTAGAGAGGAGAGAGGGAGAGACGAAGAAACAGACGACAGGATTTATGGGCTGCCTGGACTATAAAATATAATGTTATATGGGTAGCATATGGGCCGTGGCTTATATATATAGATTTAAAAAATACACAGCCGACCCAATCCAAAATTCTCACTACAAAAATCAAATATGTACCTTATGTCATATCCACATCTTATATGTTTTCGTTTGATAACAATCCACTGAATTGAATTCAAAGCAAGCAAACCAACGTATGATTGGTCTTTATCCACGTACGTATGATTGGTGGAAATGTATTGTTGCTGGGGCTGTTTTTTTTTTTTTTGTTTTTTT